TTTTTTTTTTTTTTTTAGTACATTCCCCGTCTTTTTCAATACTTGAACTTTCCTGACCTTTCAAGCTTCTTTCCTCACCATCAGCTCTTTCCCATATGCAGTGCACTCTCTTGGTGTTTTAACTGTCAGGAGTATCAGCATGATTAGCTACGTTCTTTTCACTGCTCATTGATCTCAACAATAAATCCTATCCAACAGTGCTTGGCAGTTGCAGACTTACAGAAGTTCAGCAGTTGACATGTTCACTTTAATGCCTTTCTAGGAAACATTTTCATCAAACGAATTTAAAAATGATCACAATTTTTATAATTGATTTTTAAAGTAAAAGCATTTGCTATATTTATAAGCAATAAAATTATATGTTGTATATCATTTACTTGGACAATTTTTTTAGTATTTACATTTAATGAGGATTCACAGGAGTTTGAACTGTTACATTTTGTAAAGACATCAATAAATCTGATTTCTAAAGTTGTTTAAAATAGAGAACCACAGAAAATGTTGTTTTGCTGTTGTAATTAACTTAGGGTTTGCATATGTCTCACTTTTAACTCATACTTCAAACTCATTTTTCTCCTTTTAAGAACACTTTACTGTGTTGTGAAAATATTAATATTATGATTTAATTTAGCAAAATCTAGAAAAAACCATACGTGTTGTTTTTTCCTGTTTAATTATTTCCATACTACTGCTTTATTACTTTTATATAGTATTCTAAGGAGATCTTTTTGCTAGTTAAATTCAGGTGATTGCAGATATTTTTTCCTTGATTTGCATGTAAGATTCCACTTTTGTTGAAGTTCTAGATGCATATAAATGAAGGGATATAAATGTTTGAGTGTCTAAAGATAAAAATATTTGAAAATAGAAACCTAGAGAGAGAGAGAGAGAGAAAGTGTGAGTGATCATTTAAAATATTTCCAATATGACATATCTTTCCAGTTAAAAATGGAATATTTTTATAGGAACGATACTAAATCACCTTCTAAAATACATAGTAATTTCTTATAATTAATTTAATCTTACATAGTAATTTCTTATAATTTTAAACATCTGTCAACTGGAGGCAAATTGTAACTGAGACCTTGATCCTGCAAACACTTCATGTACATGCTTAACTTTATGTATGTGAGCAATACTGTTGAAGTCTGTGAAGCTACTTAGGTTTATAGAGCCATACATTCCAGATCTGGGGCCTAAATGTATACCTCCATTAGAAACTTAACGCCATAAGGTTAAAATGTTACTGACCTCCAACAACTGATCATCTAATTATATTGGAAAAGGCTCAAAGGAAACCAAAATGCAATAGAGTAGTTTGCTTGTTTGTTTTGTTTTTAAAAGGAGCATGGTTTCTATGTGAAATAAAAGCAATACTAAGAAAAATCATGTAAGCACAAGTTATAGATGCATTAAGAAACTTGAGAAGAATTATAGAAGACCATAAAAGATTTGGCTTAGAACTATTAAATGGAATAACAAAAGCAAAGTTGTGTCTGGTTTGATGTAAAAGAGAGCACGTTTTAGGAAACTTTGGACACTGACTGAACAAAGAATACTAAAGTTACTAACAAACATAGAAAAAAGTAGGTAAAAGGAAGAGGAGAAATCCTGAAGTATTGACTAGAACAGGAGCAGGCAAAATACAGCCCGTGGGCCAGATCCGGCCTGCCAGGCCATTCTGTTTGCCCCTCAGCACCCCTAAAATATTTAGAAAATGTATATTTATCTGCCCCAGCAGCCTGCCAGAGCTGACAAGAGCCAGGGGCCATAGGACCCAGAGGGAGCCTCAGCAGGACTATACAGCCCAGCCCTGCCCATCCCCAGCCATTTCACTCCCTTCCTGCTCCTGCCCTGCTCCAGCACCACCTGGCTGCTGGTTGTATCGACAGACCAGGGAGCATGGGGCCATGCCAGTATGGGTGTGTGTGTATGCAGGAAGGGATAGCATATGTGTGTGTGTGTGTGTGTGTGTGTGCGTGCAGGCAGGGATAGTGTGGGTGTGGACAGGGGCAGAGTGCGTGTGTGTGTTCATAGGTTGAGCCTCACATGCACACCCCACCATACACATGCACCCACACCCCCCTTGCACTGCCATACACGCAGACCACCCACATCCTGTCACACCCCAAGCACCCAGCCCCCCACAGACCCCATACCCACCCATACCCCACATATCCACACACACATCCACATGCTCCCTCACCCACAGCCCCCCACAAACCTACAACCACAATATACAAGAGTAAGACTTCATTGTAAGCTATTGTGCAGTCACTTCTATGTACACTGCACAGACCCATGTAAATCAGACAAAAATATTTTTTGAAACCAAATTAATGAATGCTGTAGATGTTCACTTTTTAGAATATAATTTCATATTTTTTTGGTTCCAAGATGGCAAAACCTCTTGCTGAAAGGGGTACTTCTGGGGGCAAAGGGAGGGACTTCTGGTGGCAGAGGTCAGGGGTTAGAGGGCAGGACTTCTGGTCACAAGATGGCATCTGGAGGCAGGGCATCTGTTAAGGGATGGCTACCAATGTGGCCCTCGATGGCAGGGCTACCAATGTGGCCCTCGACAGTTTGCCAAAGCTCAGTAAGCAGCCTTCTGCCTGAAATAATTGCCTGCCCCTGGACTAGAATCTAAAAAAGGGGAAGTGCAGAAAAATCTCAAATTCAGTTGCAGCAGAGGAAGCCATAAATAGAAAAACATTTTATAATATGATTCTTTGTCATAGGACTAAATTGATCATAAATTCATTCTAGCTGTTTTGTTGTTTTTTGCAGGTTTGCAGTTATGTGTGGCTATATGTCTGAATTTGAAAGTATGCAGAACAAAATCAAGAATGGTTATCTCTTTAAGGTATGTTTTAGTAATATTGTTAGCAGCTCTTTACTTTACTTTACTTTGCTCTGACCATTTCAAACTCAGGGTTTCCAGGGAAGTAACAAAGCCTTAGGGAGAGTTAAAATGCAAACGTTATGGTTAAGAAATTATTTGTACATGCATCTACCTTGTATTACTTAATAGCCTTCAAATTAGAAGGATTTAACTGTGGATAACTTAAAAACTACAAGATTTTTGCGGTTGCTTTTGACCTAAGCAATCAAAGTGGGAGGGCGTAGGAGGGGAAAAGGGGAAGGGATTGTGTTTTTGTAATTATTTTTAAAAACTGTAGAAAATTAAAACAGATTTAGCAGTACGTAGAGGGAGTACCTGTAGTATTTCTGTTTCTTCACATTAGCCTTGGAAATGTAATATTTGGGTTAGCATTTCCCATTTGAAAACACTTATACAGCTCATATGCAGAAAATTGGGTACAGTAATAACATTTCACTTTGATTTTAATTTATCCTTGTAACATGGAAAATGTGTTCACAAGCCTCTGTCCTAAATTGCTCCCTCCTCTTGAACTACATCTGTTCTGGGGACCCTCATCTGCTCATATACCTTCTGTTTTAATCCCTACGCAGACGACCTGTAAATCTACTTGGGGATCCCCATTCTGCCACCCAGTCTGGTATTTCAGCTTCTCTTCAACATTTCCTCCTGGATGCCATTCAGGAAAGTTGAAGCTCCTCTGTCACTTGCTGCCTTGCTTTGTGGCCAAGTGAATAGTGGCAGGGGAGAATGCTGTGGCAAGCAGCTCTGGTACCCTTTGTTTTACCGTTCAGGGTGGGCTTTTGCACAGCATTATCATTGTTTCCTCTGTACCTCCAGTGTTTGGGTACCATTAGAGATTTTGTTGTTATTTACTACACAAAACCATGGGTGAACATTTCATTTTGTAAAACAAAGAATGAATGGGCACTGAACGTGCCTATACAGTAGGCAAAGTACTCTACAAAGTTCAGATAAATCAACTGAAGGAGATTCATTCTCAAATGTGCATTCTCTCATTCAGGGATAAAGTGGTCATAGTACGCTGAAATTTAATCCTCCAAGGATTTAACTGGATTGCACTAAAGCCATTCTCCTGCTGAATGAGTGCATCCACATGCTCTCAACATATGCATAAAATCTTCACCCTTTGGGTGATCAATTTGAACATAACAGAATATCCCCCTGTATGAAAGCTGTCTTTATATATATGCATTACATTGCAAATAGCAATTAACACCAAACACTTTTATGTCAGTAAGGTAGATTGTGTCAATGGAGTTGCTTCCTGTAGGCAAAATGACTAATTACCTACATAAAAAATGTATTATTTAGGTTTGGACTTGGAATGCCATGAAATACTGTCATTCTAATACAAGTCTCATTCCAGGGGGTTTCCTTTCTAACAGTGGCAAGTAAGTTAAGCCCATAATGTTTGGAGACACAGGTAATGGAAAGAGGAAAGGAATAGATTGTAACAAAATGCAGTTTACAAAACAACATTTAAAAGGCAAATAAATACTGCTGTTGTAAACAGAGTTCACAAAGAATCTCAAATGTTAGCAGCAAAATTTTCTGTGCTGTTTTTCTTGAGGCGTAATTGGCTAAAATTACATGAATAATACAGAAATATGGGGATTACAGTAAATAACAGATTGAAAAATATTTAAATAATTTGCACACAACTAGATGAAATAATTTGCACACAACTAGATCATAGATCTACAAGTCCACATGAACAGTTCAGTTAAAATTAGTGTAGTTTATGCTGGTATGTTACTGGTTGCCTTCCTTAAAAAGAGATAGTAGAAAAAAGAGATTTATAGGATCTCATAATTAGATTATTTTGGGAAGAAAATGATAAATCAGGTCTCAAAAGAATTTCATTAATTAAGACAAAAGAAAGAAAAAATGACCTGGGTTTGAAGGAAACATCTTATTTATTTATTTATTGTCCTTACACATCCTTACACCTCTTCTCACACGAAACACTTCAATGGTTGGTCATAAGTGTATGATAACTATAAAGAAAAATGGGAGTTTTCTCACTGGGTTGTTATAGTTAAATTTTGTAATACAAATATATCTATAGTTTACATTCAGTAGTTTGTGGTAAGCCCACTTCTTATTTTATTCTGTTAAAAAGAACTTGCTATTTGGTAGACATCAGATTGTTTCCTAATTGCACAAACCCTGGTAAGTTATATACAGTCATTAAATTACTGCTTTTGTGACATTATTCTCCAAGCAAAAGCTTTTACCAATTAAAACATTTACATATTATTAGAACAAAACTGTAGTAAAAGCAGTCATGTAAGGGAATTTCAATAAATCTTCCCAATTTGCAAGGCAGCTTTAAAGAATTTGAAGACAACTGCCAAAGAGAAATGAATGGCCAAAGTAACATTATCTTTTGATCTTCTTTTTAATAGGAACATCTGGACAAAGCAATCGAACTTAAGCCTCAAGATCCCTTTTTATATTACCTAAATGGAAGGTGGTGCTATTCCGTAAGTTATTTTGTATATCGGACCTTTGACCTAAGTGTACTGAAACATGATCATGCATTTTAAATGGAAAAACTGGACCTGAGACAAATTACACATTTATTGAAGTATAAACATTTTAACATTTTCAACAAAGTATTGCAGTATGTGCGTCATGAAATAATTTACATGATTATTACATGAATACAGTCTGTTATTTCTTCCTATCATTATTACATATGATAAATGTACCCCCTTCACCCTCTAATTTTCTTTTATAGTAGGAATATTGGTGAAATTCCTACTAAGATTTTTTTGCCTTTGTTCCTCATCAGTAAAATGGGAATAATGATATATCTTTATCTCACAAGGGTCTTGTGAAGCACATGAATTAAAGAACCTGAGGCACTAGTGATGGGGCTATAAAAATAAGGCTTTTTAGTGGAGAAAGATAGCTGTGTTAATCTAAATTCAAGCAGAAGGCAGAGCAAGGTAGCAGCTTAGAGACTAACTGCTTCAGAAAGATATTTAAGCTTCCGTAGGTGACAGCCTATTTTGTCAGATGCTGTGGACTTCTAGAAAGCAGGGTTTCTATATAGAAGGGAATTTAAATACAAAGGATAGGGGGAGGGAGCACTCCTGGGAGAGAGGAAAGTGGGTTGAGTAGGTCAACAGGGATAAACAAGGCAACAAGGAACTTAGGGGTTAAAAAGGCTGGTTCAGGTATTGGGGTAAAAATCTATAATTTCTGTTGAGATCATGTTTAACACAGTCCAGTCTGTGGATGATTTCTTGTTCCGCAGTTCCATGTTCAAGTCAGTTTTTAAGTCTTGTTCTTTAAGAACAGCTCCTCTGAGGTGAGTAAGTTCTTGGCTATGTACAGTAAAAGCTGTTAGCCAGTATTTTACTAACCAGAATACTCTATTAACTGGTGCCATGCCACTTTCAAAATAGCGGCAGCAAGGCACAGAGGCGGGGAGCAGAGCCCAGCCTGCAGCTGCAGCCCACCCTTGCCCCATGCACAGATAAAAGAAAGTAGATCAAAAGAAATTTACCTGTGCTGCAGCAGCCTGTGGCTGGGCTGCCCTGGTGTTTGGGGGGACTTAACCCCGGTAGCCTCCCCACCCTTCTGCCCGCCTATATATATCTGCCATTGGGATTTGTGTTTTCGTGACTGTTTTGTGTTTGATTGCAATATTTAATCCTACTTTTATGGCATCCAATATAGCATCAAGAAGCAAAGGTGAAAAGTGAAAAAGAGTTGTGTTGATATTAACGCAGAAAATAGACATTTTTAGAGGTCTAGAAAAAGGTGAGAACCATAATGTTCTGATGAAAGAATTCAATGTTGGATCATCAACGATATACAATATCAAGGCTCAAAAGGAACAATTGCTCAAATTCATCCCTAGTTCTGAGACAAGTAAAGCTCTTGAAATATGCTGTAGTCGACATAAGCCTAAATTAGAACAGCTTGATAGTGTTTTATATGAATGGTTTTCATTAAAATGGTCAGAGGGTGCCTCTATCTCTGGCCTATGCTCATTGAAAAGGTGAAAAATATCTACAAGCAAATGAATTTGACTGAACCCTGTACATTTTTGGCTGGATGGCTTTCATGTTTTAAATTTTGTCATGGCATTAGAAAGCTAGATGTGTCTGGTGAAGTAAAATCAGCTGACCATGAAGCTGCTGAAAAATATTATGATTTTTTTTTTAACAAATTAGTTGCTGAGCATGATCTATCCCCTGACCGAATCTACAGCACAAACGAAACTAGCCTATTTTGGCGATGTTTGCCAAATTTTACCCGTGCTAGTGGTGGTGAGTCTAGTGCTTCTGGTTTCAAGCAGAATAAAGACCAAATAAATGTGCTTACATGTGCTAATGCAGGAGGCATGCATAAAGTAAAGCTATTGGTGGTTGGAAAATTTAATCATCCTAGAACTTTTAAGGGTATTACACATTTACCTGTTGTTTACAAAGCCCAAACTAATGCATGGATGGACAAAGATTTTTTTATGACTGGTTTTATCATGGTTTTTGTACCTTGAGTGAAAGAACATTTTAGAAAATTTGGAAAACGTGAAGATAGCAAAGCTATTCTGCTATTAGACAATTGTCAAGCTCACCCTCCTGAATGTGAGTTAGTGTCAGGTAATATAGAGGCTGTGAGCTATGGGACTCTTCAACCTGGAGAAGTGCAGGCCCAAAGTTGATTTGGTGGCAGCCTATAAGTACATTAAGGGATGTGCATCAGGATCTGGGGTAACACCTGTTCACCAGACTGACCCAAGGGATGACAAGGTCAAATGGTCACAAACTCCTGTAAGACCACTGGACATAAGGAAAAACTTCTTTACTGTCTGAGCCCCCAAGGCCTGGAACAGACTCCCCTCTCCCCCCCCCCCAACTCTGGACACTTTTAAGAAACATTTGGATGCTTATCTTGCTGGGATCCTTTGACCCTAGCTGACTTCCTGCCCCTTGAACAGGGGGCTGGACCCGATGATCTTATGATGTCCCTTCCAGCCCTAATGTCTATGAAATCTATTAAATCTTCCTGCCTGCCAATGTTACTTCACTAATTCAACCAATGGACCAGGGCATTATCCAGAATATGAAGTGGTATTACCAGAGAGATTTTCTGAGGAAGTTCATCAATCATGAAGGCACTATCCAGAACTTTCAATCTCTTTATAACATAAAAGATACAATTTTTCATGTGGCTTGTGCCTGGAATTCTGTAAAAAGTGAAACATTAAGGAGGGCTTGGAGAAAATTGTGGTCTTGTGTTTTGTTTGCAGAAGGGTCTTCTGCTGAAGAAGACTTTGAAGGTTTTAATGTGAGACATAGAAGAAATACAGTAGCTCAAATTCTTGAAGTGGTGAAGGATGCTCCTGCTACAAACCCAGTCAACAAACTTAAAGTGAGATAGAAGAGTGGGTCAAAGCTGACAAGGAATTGTAAGTTACACATGTTTTTAGTGATGCAGAAATAATAGAGAGTGTTGTGAATCCTGAAAAGTCTGCGGTCACTGAAAAAGATTCTGAAGAAGACGACTTTGGTGAAGAGGAGAAAATATCTTGGGCTAATGCTGCTTCCTGTCTTGACAACTTCATTAAATTTGCTGAAAGGCAAAGTTGTTATTCTGCACAGGAGGTTATGCAGTTACACATTATTCACTCTAATTTCATGCAGAAAAGGCAGGCAGCAAGTAGGCAAGCTGGTATCAGGGATTTATTAAAAAAAACTTCCAGGGCTTGTCATAAAGCCAGTACAGAATCAGTCCCATCACCATTACCTTCTACATCTACAATTTATGTTGATGACTTTGAGGCACTGCAAGATCCCCAAGTGCCTCTTGAATGTCCAAAGAGGCAGTAAAGTATGTACAGTACAGTAATGTAAATAGTTTTAGTTATAAGTATAGTATTAAGTGTACAGTGCTTTTCAATAATCTAGGTGTATGCTATGTGCTGCCAATAGTGTACTACATGTAACTTTAGTGTACTGTACTGTACATTACTGCCTCAGGATTTCTCTTCATTCCAGTGCTGCTTTACTACTACTTGATTGGTGAGTACTTGTATACTGTTTTATTCTTTATACAGTATATTATACTGTCATGTATTGTACACTGATTCTTTGAAAATTTACACTACAAGTATGGTACTGTCTTCTTTGATAGGTATAACTCTCAGATAAGCAGATTTTTTAGATAACTGGCACCGTCCTTACCCCACTCATGCCAGATAACAAAGCTTTTACTGTACTAGTTCAGTGGTGCTCCACCTTTTCATCCCATGGACTGGATGGACAGTGTCCTATCGGCCCATGGGCTAAATCCAACCATTGGTCCCCATCTGATGTCTGGGGTGGATGTGATGGGCACCGTTCGGCCACATGGAGAGGGATGGGAGGCAGTCCAGTCCCAAGCTAGCCCTTCAGGGGAAGAGGGTGTCACTCAGCCCCGTGGGAAAAGGGGAGTGATCTTCCCTGCAGAGGGGTAAGGGGAGCAGTCTAGCTCTGACAGGCTATGCAGGGCTTGAGATTTGGGATTTGGGTGGGGTGGAGAGGGTGGCCATATTAATGGCAATTGCTTTTCTGCCACCAAATTTCCTAACATAGGGGGAGCCCCACAGGCCAGATGCTAAGACTCCGCAGGGCACATTTGGCCTGTGGGCTGGACCTTGTGCATCCCTGGACTTGTTAGTCTCTAAGGTGCTCCCCTGCCTGTCTTATGCCATATTTTTAGTAAACTCTGTGGCGACCGAGTTGGTCGGTCATGGTTTGGGCCAACACGATCGAGCAGGTGGGGGCTAGCGGCGAGGAGTCAGGCGGCAAGTACTCGTGTGGTTGCAGAAAAAAACTTTTATTAACCTATGTTACCAGGATTCAATGCGTAACATAGATAGTTCAACTTGCGTGATTACAGGCTCAGGTGTGGACGACAGCTGCAGGTATCAATGAAAGCTATAGATGGATCATTCATTCGAGCATGCAGGGGCGGGGTACACCGGGAGACAACGGTGGCGGAGAGACCTTTCACAAATGGCCGGTTTGTGAGGTAGCCCAAGGTATCTCTGAGCTGGTCTCTGGCTTGGGCAGAAACTGTGTTGACTTGTATACTTTTCATGTAGCCAATCGTATGCTCCCTTTTGTGGAATATTCTAGACAGATTATGTAATGGCTATCTGCTTGGTGCATGACTGGGCATGCGCTCTCTGCCAATTTAAATACCTACTCCATCACACACTGGCCATGTGTGTGGCACGTGTTTGAACATGCGCACTTGTCTCAGGGCTTTCCACCTGCATGTTTGTACTTGTACCTTTTAACTCTGTGTTATCAGCATCCTTTTCGATTCTGGTTTAGACAAACTCCATGGCAGAAATTGCACGAGGGAAGGGAAAAACAATTCATGGAAAGTTTGCTAAATGCTCCAGTTTTCATACATCAACATAATTAAGAGTTTCTAAATAATAAGTAACTTGTTACTAAGATCCTGACCAGTGCTTATA